TCAAGGCTCTTGTATTCTGGCAATATTTGCTTATCCAGGAGTTCAGCTTTACAGAAACACAAATGAATGTAGTTATGTATTTATTAAAAATAATGTACTTTATATAGGGATACATTGATACCAATACTAGTATCGGTATTTGTGCCAATGCCGAGTATTTGGGCGAGTACTCGTACTCACCCAAATGCTCCGATGCCTAGCCCGATACTTCCGGTATCAGACAGCCAGGCAGCGAGTCATTACACACTGCCCGGCTTCCTGATTGGTAGGGAAACCGGCTCCATGCTCCCTCGTCACTTGTAATGTAATGACTCGCTGCCCGGCTTCCTGATTGGTCGGGAAGCTGGCCAATCAGGAAGCCGTGCGCCGTGTAATGACGCATCGCCCGGCTTTCTAATTGGCTGTAAAGCCGGCTTCATGCTCCCTCGTCACCTCATGACGAGGGAGCATGGAGCCAGCTTCCCGGCCAATCAGACAGCCTAGCGCTGCGTCATTACATGGCGCCCGGCTTCCTGATAGGCCAGAAAGTCAGCTGCATGCTTTCTCGTCACCTAGTGACGAGAGAAGCATGGGGACGGCTTCCCTGCTAATCAGGAAGCCTGGCTTACTTAACGGAACTATTCGTTATCGGCGAGTACCGAAAAAAAATATCGGTACTCAATACCGGTATCGGTATATCCCTAATTTTAAATTCAACAAGTATAAATACCAGAATTTGATTCAGTATCAGCCTCTTGTAATTCCCTGCACAACAGCACTCAGACTGGGTACTTGGGGCCAATCAGGTGTCCTGTATTTACATATGCTGACAGGCAACTTGCTGACATGCAGAGAGAGCAGAGAGAGTTGCTTCTCCTGCACTGTCCAATCACAGCTACGTTGCTTAATTGCAGCAAAGTAAAATAAGGTCACCAGGCTGGCTGTACTATGTGGTAGGGCTGTGTAAATTCCCACACTGGATGGACGGTAATAAAAATCTTTTGCCAGATAAAGCTGTTTGCCTGAAATCCCACTGTAACCTCTGATAGAACAAATCATCCACCAATCAGTGAAATATGATTTTTGTGTGACGTAACCACCTAATTAGCACATTGATGATGTTCATGAAAAGTTTCATGTTATACAAGTTGTAGGAAAAAAAGAAATTCAGTCTAAAAATAGCAGTTTTGCCCTCAGCTCATCTTGCGGTATCAGTATAAATCATATACATAAATGATAAGTCTGCCTTAAGGTACCATAGACAGATACTTCACCAAGATCTATGGCAGGGAATAGCCGCCGTTCATCAAGTCAGCCCGCTGCAGAACAGCACACACAGCGTTTCGAGCCTCCAACTATCTAGATCGAGAGGCAGCCTCCATTCATATCCAAATCAGGAAGGCCGTCACTATCAGTAAATCTGGAACAGATTGGAATGTGTATGGCCGATTTAGCTAATCAGCGTCTCAATGAAGAACGGTCTGAGTTGCACATAGCAGTCAGCGATTATTTTCAAATTTGGGTTGGAAAAATGCCAGCTGGGATCTGATTGCTTTAAAGTAGAACCAGTAGGCTGCGGGCGCTGGTCTTGGAGCTTGCAGGAGCAAGGGTCAGGTAAGAAAAAATGACCCACATTTGTCCTTGGTCATTGTCACGACCCAAGTTGCGCCACGCTGTAATGCATAGCATAGCGGTGCGGGGGTCGCACTGCACCGAAACGCACGGCATTGCGGTACTGCGCATTCCGGTCGGGCGATTGAACTGTGTGCGGGAGGTGCATTTGGGGTGCCATTCAAATGAATGCCAACGCAATGCACCTCCCACACCAGAACGCGTAGTAGCAGCCCACACTGGATCCTCAGCCTGGGGTCCAGTGTGGGCTGCTGTGACGGAGCTCCATCCATATGTGCATTGCTTGTACAACTCCTTTGCGTGCCCTGTAGAGGTGCCGGGAGCCAGAATGTGATGTCACTCTGTTCCAGGCACCTCTACAGGACATGCGAGGGAACAGTAAGCAATGAATGTATGGATGGAGCTCCCTCGTGGCCATAGCCCCAGAACACCCCACCCCACCTCAAGCTGACACTCGGCACTAGGCAGCATATTTTAAATAGCTGCTTGGCGCAAAAACTGACAGTGCTGCGCTAGGGGGAGGCTGAGGAGCCTCTCACTTAGAAAAGTGGAAGGCACGCGGCAACCCCGCTGGTCACGACCCACCAGTTGAGAACCAAGGCCCTAGACCATGATCAGCAGTTAACCCTTGCAGTGCGAGGGTTTTTTTTCCCGCAGATAGGCTTTAAAGGAGGACACTTCAGGATGGTTGTTACCTGTCATGCAGTACTAGTTCTGGGGCAGGCATCAGGCTCAGAGATGCACCAGCCCTGGAACTGGCACCACTGCTGGGATTTAGGTAACGTCAGTCGCTGGTGCTGGGTGGGAGCCTCAGCTGTGACAGGCATCCTGGCGGCCTTCCTTTAAGACACAAGGAGCAGATTGGTTATAGACTACAGTGATAATAGTTAGATGGTGTCATTTGTTTTGGGGGTTTTTGCAGGCTGGCTGGTACATTTTTGCTTTTGTACTTTGTAAAGCCCTTCCATGTGCACCTTACTTTAGAGCTAGTTACGAATTGATGAGTGCGTTTGCCATTTGTTTCACTTGTTGGATTTGGTGTGGGGAAATCTTGGGGGTTTCAGCTGCCATTGCTTTTAAAGAGATTTGAGCTACCTCCGGGTGAACCTGCACCCAATGCATTCTTTGCTATATATGCTCCAAAATAGAGGCTCTCATAGATTAGAGTTAGGACCACACTACACAGAGGGGCCTTGACAAGGCATATTTTGCAAAAGTTGTGCAACTAAAACCTCTTTTTTTTTACCCTAATAGTTGGACATTGTCATTTGTTTTTTTGCAAGCTGGCTGGTGAATGTGCTGGAAACGTTTTCCTTATGGGCAGGGATCCCAACCTGAAAAAAGTAATTTCAGGGAGGTGCCCTTTTTATTTCAGGGAGGAGCCCTCTGCCCCCCTTACCCCATCTGCAGTGGGGGATTGGAAGAGCATCCCCCTGAAATGATGGCAGATAGCAAAGAAGCTATTGCTTCTTTAATATCCGCTTTGTTTTTTTTTTACATATTCTGAAAGCTGCTGCCGTCAGACTAAAAAAAAAACCAGCATAGGAATGCATGGCTAGATTACTATTGGCTATTTCAATAGCCAAAAGCAAGCTGGCTATTGCACCCGCCCTCTGCTGTTGTTAATCAACAGAGGGAGGACCTGATGGAGAACTTCAAGTCCACCTCTGATTGACAGCAGCAGTGGACGGGTGCAATAGCTAGTCTGCTATTGGCTACTGCAAATTCAAATAGCCAATTGTAATCTAGCTATTCATTTCTATGCTGTCTTTTTTTTTGTTTTTTTTTTACTCTGACGGCAGCCCAATATCAGACAAAACATTTTTTTTTTCTGATTCGTGGTAAAAAACGCACGACAAACGTGCGTTTCCGAGGGCTACTTGGCTGTATCCCAATGGAAACGCGCGACAAAAGCGCCCCAAAGAAGCTCCTGTACTTCTTTGGGCGTAGGGCGTTTTGTAGCGCGTTCATACGGTCTGTAATACGCCTAGGTGTGAACCATACCCATAGGAAATAATGGGATTTCGGTGTTTGAGCGTTTTGCAGAGCGTTCGAACGCGCTACAAAACGCCCAGGTGTGAACCAGGCCTAAACCTTTCCGGGAGAAAATGTTTCTCTCCCGGGCGGCCGGGAGTCGCTATCTTATAGGGGGAGACTCTTGGAAAGTCCGGGAGAGTTGGGATGTCTGTTATAGACTGTTATAGAAACGCAGCATCTAATCAAAGTTTCTCCATCCACTGAAGTGACCAAATTGAAGCATAATTCCCCATATTCATGTATAAAGATCGGCAAAGTCATCACAGCGTATTGTTGTTACTTGTTTATATCATTTTTTTCGATACTGAAGAAGAAGTCTATTTAAATCAGGAAATTGTCCCCAATATGGATTCATTTCATGGGTTACATGAGGGGTCCATTAATGTGGGGTGACACCAGACATTTTTATACACAATAGGGTGAAGAGTTTGGAGAAGGCAGGAGAAGTGAACAATCGGGGACAAAATAGCTGATTTAGAGAAATTCTCCAACTCAGCTCACTTTCCAGTTCAGCTATGTTGTCCTAGATTGTTCACTTCTCCTGTCTTCTCCAAACTCTTCACCCTTTTGTGAATAACTCTGTCATTCTAAGAACAAAAACATGCCAAGGGGGGGAATTTATCAAAACTGGAGCAGACAGAATCTGGGGCAGTTGTCAACGGCAACCAATCAGCTTCTTCTTTTATTTTCAATGCTTAACTAAACACAATGAGGAGAGACGCTGATTGGTTGCTATGGGCAACTGCTCCAAAATCTGTCTTCTCCCGTTCTGATAAATTCCTCCCAAGAGTTTTTTTCAATTGTTTCAATTGATCCACAGGAATATTTCTATATAGCATATTCAAGGGACACGCCACGAAAAAATTAGATGTCAGTGTTTCTTCTAAGGCTTAGCTGAGTTCCCGGATCTGCACACCAGATGTGGCCATTATGAGAGGTTTCCACCATCCCTGCTGGGTTTTATTTTTAACTTTTTGAATCATGGAGACTGTACCAGGATGATCTGGGACACAAAGGTGGGCAGAGATGGGAACTCGGGCAGAGAACTTGCCCTGTCACTGGCAGGATTGTTAGTGTGTCATATAAGACATAAGGATGTGCGGGGGTGGGGGGGCTTGGTGCAAACCAAGCCTGGGCAAAACTGTGACTGACACACTCTCCTCGGCCCGATCAGTTGCGGCAGGGGCATTCCTCGCCCCTTTGTGATTGGGCTGGGAGGGCATACGTCAGTGACACCTTTGTGCAGGATTGGGCAAATTCAGCCCACCAGCGGGTGACCCCTTCTATAATAGGGGACTGACCTTTTGAATATCATTAAAAGGTGAAAAACTGGGACTGTATCAGTCACTTACCTCATATTGTCCACCGTCCTGCCACCATTTTTCAGCAGGCATACTGGCACTGCCAGCGCAGACAGGATAAGACACAAAACGCAGTAAGAAACTGTTTTAAAATGGAGTTTGAAAGCGCTGCTTATCTCCATCAGAATCAGGGGGGCGAGGACAGCCATGGCGAGCCAAAAAATCCACCACAGGTCCATCTCGGAACCCGACCAGAGAAAAATAAAACCACAGAAGTGCAGTGAGACAAAAACAAAAGCTGGCAGAAGGGGTCAGAGGTTAGGTAAAAATGACAATAATAGTGTTTGTCTGCGTGCAGGGGAAGGACCGAACTGCACAGGTACAGGCGTGTGACACGAGCAAAGTATGAAAGTGCAACCGTT